TGCAGAGTAACTGAACTAATTCTGAGTATAGTCCCAGCTGAGTAGAATGCAGTTCTTTTACCATATAACCATTCCTCGGCCTTCCTGAGCCATTCCCCCTGTAAATACAGCCCATGTTGCACATGTCCCAGGCATCCTTTCTCCCAGACATAGCCTGAATCCTGCTCGGTGCCGTAGCAATCCTGGCAACAGATTTGACAGAGCCTCTAAGTTGTGTAACCAGCAAGTGGAGATGTGTCCGTCAGTGCTGCCAGGAGGAGATGAATGGCTGCTAGGTTTGATCAGTTGTGCAGAGCTCTTATAAACCGTACTATGAGACTTGATCTTGTTTGTCAGACTGGATTGAAATTGGCCAACAAATGTGGGAGAGATTAGGGGGGCAGATGTATAATGTGAGCTCAAGAAAATGGATGAAAATCATGTAATAAAAAAGAGAGAGAAGGGTTTCTTCTAGTTAGGAAGGAAATTTTCTATGTCTTTTTGTCTGCTTTTCATTTTAATGGGAAGTAAGCAGTGTCATCGTCTTATTTTTGTTTTGCTTATTATTTTTAGAAACTGTGGGTATGCTTTTGAGAAGCTACTGGCAGTAAAGGCGTGTTCAGTGAATCAGCCTCTGATGTGGAAAAAACCCACCCAAAAAGCGACACTGACACTGCATGTAGTTATAAATGGAAACTGATTTCTCTTATCCCCGAGTCTGCAGGCAAACCTTATAAGCTTTCATTAACTAAGCACCTGTGTTATGGGTAAATAATAATATTCCACATTTGCGTTATTTTTTGTGTTATGGTATTTGCAGAGATAAATATATGCAGATTTCTCTGCATATTGCAGAGAAAGCAAAAGTTTCCGGCCTGAAGAGCTAAATGTGGCATGGAGGTGGGTTTCCAGGACACAAAGCAGACGTGCGGTCTGTAGGGGAAGGAAGAGATTCTCTTTTAAACAAAGATACAAGTTTTTTAAGATGATAAAAGCATTTTTCCTAGAAGTATTGCTTCTTCAGCTCATTTCACAACCCATTTGTAATCAGTTGCTCAAACTGATGTTTGTTTTCTTGTATTAGCCTAGAATTATGACACCAGCAGTACTGGTAATGCAGATCGCAGCGTTTCAGACTTACCGCTGTGCTTGCTCAGGGGGATGTCATGACACAACTTCAGCATTGATCTTTCTCTTGCACACAGGAACACAGATCTCTGTTTGTCCTTTCATATGCAGAACCTCTGTTGTTTTCTCCTATTTTTGCTGGGTGATTCTCAGCAAATCTTTGCAAGAACCGAACGGTAAGAAGGGAAGCTGCCAACTGAAACAATCACTTCCATTTGCTTTTTAATATTGAAAGCATTGTTATTCCCTTGCTCCTTTTGCAATGACTTTTGCTCAGAGACTAGAACGAGGTGTAGGGCTGAAATCATCTCTGTTCTGCATGATGATAACTTGTTTGCGACTCCTCCTATTTGGCAATAAGAGATGTGTACTTAAAATGTCTTTTGAAAGGTGAAAGAGCTATGCTACGTAGGGGCTGTTGTGGCAAAAGTCAGATCCCTTCTAGAAAAAGTACAGCCAAGCACATGTAGCATAAACAAAACCAGATATAACATAACTGCTGAATTAGACATCGTGCATAGCACTAGCGAGCTACGGGACCCTCCACACCAGCATTTTAATGATTCCCTGGTGACTGTCTCAGTCCTTTTCTTGGCAGTTTTGCCTTTTTTTTTTTTTTTTTCCCTACTCTATTACCCTCTCCTGGGATTAATAGTGTTTTCTACCTCTTAGTGCAAAAAAACCCTGCTTGGATGTGTCTCGTAATTCATCGTTCTTACACCTGTGATATTTGCAAAAGTTGTATGGAGAATATAATAATTTTGGTGTAAATTTTAATTTACTCATTGTCTGTGTGCATAGATAAGTGCATTTCCCTCTAAGGCAAATAAGTTCTTAGGACTTTCCAGCAGTAAGGCCTCTCCAGTGTCTCTAGTGTGAACTGGAGGCACTAGGTACTGGGGGTTTTAATAACTTGTTATTTTATTTTTGTCTTATTTTTATAAATAACTGCTAGGTGTTACAGAGGAGGAGAGGGCTGCAGAACTGCAGAAAACAAAGACTGTACCACCTGTAAGCAGACTGACAGTGGATATCGTGGAATTGGAAGCTCTCAGAAAGTCTGTGGAGGACTTTTTCTGCTTTTGCTATGGTGGGTGTAGTAAAGTCTTCAAAATAACTGTTCTGGATTTCGAAAATTTTATTCCAGTTGGGAGGGAAGTACTGCATGATCTTGGTCTTCCAACTGTAGTGCTGTTAAGGTGATAAATTTAACTTTTCTAGTAGCTGATTCTGAAACTTACACATATTTTGGATAGTTTTCTTCTTGGTGTGTTTTGTGGGATGTGATTTGAGATTATTGCACAGCACAGCTTGTTTAGTTTTCTTTCAGGAAGGCCTCTGCACCTGAATGGGTTCCAGAGCATGTTCGTAAAAGCAGTACTTGGCTTCCTGTACAGATTTGCATCTGCACCTTGCTTTCAATCCAGTCCTCTCCACAGGTTTTATGAGGCACTTGTCCTTTTGCTGACTTGCACACTCTTGACCTCATAACTATCTCCTTTTTTTGGTTCTTCCCTAGGTAAAGCTTTAGGAAAGTCAACGGTGGTACCTGTACCATATGAGAAGATTCAGAGGGACCAATCTGCAGTAGTAGTGCAAGGCCTCCCTGAAGGACTTGCATTTAAACATCCAGCAAATTACAATGTTTCAACCCTGAAATGGATTTTGGAAAACAAGTCGGGGATCTCATTTATCATCAAAAGGTTATTTGCTCTCTCTCGTGCTGGTCTGTCCACTTTGGTTTTGTACTTAAGTCAAATTAATTTTAATTTTTAATTAAATACATTGCAGCCTGTTTCTCTTAAACAGGAGTGCGCTCTCTTAAATGTTACACTACCAAGTAAGTAATGATGTCTTTGCTAAAGCTGTGGCTTTTTCTTTCCATATTTCCACACAGGCCATTCCTAGAGCCAAAGAAGCACCTAGGTGAGTTACTGCTTACTCAGACTAAACAGGAACAAATCAGAATTTTAGAGTAGATAGCAATATAGATACAAGATTTGGTCATGTGGATAAAGTGGGAAACTGTGCAGAAATTCCTAGACCGTGAGTTGCTTTACTTATGGAACTAGAACCTTTAGGTTTATGTGTTCTGCCAGGAGCAACTAATTAGAGATAAAATTTGTTCTGTTGCATTCTTCATCCTTTTACTGAATTTAAATTTAATGTGAATTGGATAGTATCCTAGGGAAAGGAGAAGTGAACCAGTGAAGGAGTGTGCATTGCATTTTTAGAAAATGCCAAGAGTTTGCAGTGCTCCGTGTTTTAATACATAGCTGATTTTGGCATTTATATCTCATTTTAAAAATCGATCTAATCTTCTGAAGTAGTTAAGTGTTGCAGTTCCTATGAAAGCCTCTATATATGAAAAAAATCTGAGCTAACGTGAGTAAATCTGCAAAGGTTTACTTCTAGCCTAGATGAAATCTCTTCTCCTGTTCCTTTCATGGGATCACATTGCTTTACTTGCAAAATTCATATATGTGAGGATTTGTTTTATGAAGAGGATGAAGCAGTCTCTATAGGAGTGTAATCAAAAAAGAAAAGTTTCACTTTCTGAGGTGAAACAGCCAGAAGTTGATGCCAGATTAGTAAAACTAGAAATGTGTTGCCTGTGCCCAGTAGGAAGATTGGAGAGTGGGAAATTTCAGAGATTCTGGTAATAATAGATATCTGTTGAAAAAGCAAGGCAAGCTTTCAGTGTGGTTAATGACTTTCTGTAAATGTAATCTGTTGGTGTTTAGCTGTAATTTAGGACTAAGCTGGAATCTCTCTAAAACAATCCATTTCCTTCTAGCAGAGTTCAGGTGGGAGATCTGTTTAACTTTGTTTCCCAAGATTTTCACTTAGTATCATGAAATACAGGAGTGAAAACATGATGATGTATGCACATTTGAAGAAATTTTATATTGGTGTTGCTTTGTAGATTAATAAAGCAATTTAACGAGAGATCTTGCCTTCCTATCTGTGCATACAAAGAATATGCACATATGCTTGTAAAACGTGAACAGGTTTTTGCTTCATGAAATCAATGTTACATTTTCAATTTGTATTTAAGGCAAATGGAGTACAGGAAATTCAAAGATTGTCTTTTAACTTTCAGGAGCTCATGTGACAGATCCTTCACATTCAATTATACCTCCAGGTGGAAGGTGAATTTAAAATAATGTGGTTTTTTTGTTACCAGCTATGTATTTTCATGTAGTTTGTCTTTCTCTTAATGTGCTTTTTCTCTCCAGCTGACCTTTGGATAACTTTTGCTTGCCTGGAATTATACAAAGCATGAAGTTGAATTTTCTTTCTTTTGACCGTTATTTGTGGGGAAACTGTTAGGAACTAAACAGATGGTGAAGTTTCCCCTTGGTTTAATTAGCCCAATGAGTGTTTTAATTCATAGTCTTGTCAGTCAGGGATAAGTTTGTCATGTTTTATGATATGGAAGTGATGGGGAACAGATGTAATGTTGCTTCCTTCCCTCTCCTCAATTAAAAAAAATAAAATACTTTTTTTTTTTGTTAGCAAATGAAGAGATTATATGTAGAATAATAAAAAAAAATGGTTAATGTGAAAAGGGGGAGCAAAATGGCAGGTGTTTCTGTGCTTCTGAGTTTGCTTCTCATTAAATGGTAAACACGCTTTGAATATTGTGTATGTCCTGAAAACGTAGGGATGGGAGATTGCTGGCAATTCCCCTGAAATAAATCAGATAAGTTAAGATGCAGTGGTTTTACTTTTGTGTTCCAAGTTTAAAAAAAATAAAATACTGGGAGACTGATTTTATTTGACAACCTGTAAAGCTTGAGGAACTTTGCAGAAATGTGATACTTGTTTTTGATAATATCAATGTGCTTGATTTGTTTATCTTCATAGTTGTCCTCCTATTCAAGTGAAAACGGAACCAAATGAGGATTCTGGTATGTTCAAAATTTTGCCCTTATTTGGAAAACAAACAAGAGTTTCTGTTCAGAAAGCTGAATTTAAGTCAAAGATAGGAAACTCCAAGAAAAAAACCAGCAAAAATACATCCTTTGTGAGAAAGAAAAACTTCTTTCCTTAAAAATGCCCACTTTTCAGTTGGCCTTTTTACCAAGTATTTAACTTTAGCCAAATGTTTCCATTTCTAAGAGGAGGAATGTGTAAAATTTTCTAGATTAAAATAATTTATCTTTGTAAATAGTTTAAAATGGAGAAGAAGAAAATTCTCTGGTTTTTATTTTGTTCTAATTCAAGATCACTTTATCCGTAATGGGGAGAGAAAAACTTGATTTATTTGTTAATATTACTAAAATATTGAAAATGACAGAATGTCCATTTTCTAGCTAAAATGGAAATAAATAGCAAATGTGTTTAAAAGACCGACCAAGCATTGCGAAGTTCCCCCGCAGGTAGGACATGATCCAGCAAGGCGCTGTGATCTGCACAGAGCGATGCTGAAGTGTATGCTTGGAGATAAAGGCACAAATAATCCCATTAAAACCAGTGAGATGGCAGGTGTGCCTGGAGATAAGCTGCTAACTTTCCCTGTTCTTGGGTTGGGTTACACTGCTCGGCATTTTGTATAAGAATTAAGTTTTTATGTTTAGTCCAGTCTTTTGCTCTAGTTCTTTATGCTTCACAACTTTAAACTTGTGGTTTGGGAACCCTTCATGGTTAATGTTTAGCTTCATGTACGCAAAGAGTTAACTTGAGCTTTTTGTCAAGTGAGTCCCAGACTCTTTCTGGTGCTGCTTTCTGGGCATTTTAAGGAATTCTTTTGTCGGAATGTTTTGAAAACATTTTAGGGAATGCTGTGAAGGCTTATGGAGGGGATATTTCACTTGAAGGAAGCCAAGAGCAGTTGAGGAACTTTGTGTTGCTCCATCAGCAGCACAGTTTGATGCAGACTGTATCTGAGCTTGACTGTACAGAGGAGTCAGCAGGAGGAAGTCTAGAAGTACTTTGAGCACAACGAGTATTAACATGTGTTTTGGGTTGGGTTTTTTTTGTCTGTGGTAGTGGGCAAAAAGGAAGGAGACCATTCTTTTTAATTCTTCGGATCCGAGATAGCATTTGTAAGGATGCCTAGTTTGTAGGGACGCATTCAATCCTGAATCCCTTCTGACAGCGACCGAACTGAAACATAAGAAACCAACAGGGCACTTAGTTACCGTTGTTTTAGCTGAACAATTGTTTAGTGTCTCAGCACCTGAAAAGCATTTATTTTCTTTTTTTCTTTTTTCTTTTTTCTTTTTTTTTCTTTTTTTTCTTTTTTTTTTTCTTTTTTTTTTTTTTTTTTTTCTTTTTTTTCTTTTTTTTTTTCTTTTTTTTTTTTTAATAAAGACCAGCTAGGATCTTGGTGGGTGTTTTGTTTGCGTGTTTTTTTTAAGAATCTGGTTATTACTAGTTTCCACATTTGATTGCTTTGTTGCTTCTACAGGAATTTCATTGAAAATGGCAACAGTAACAGTGAAGGAGGAATCAGATGATCCTGACTACTACCAATATAATATTCCAGGTAATGATACTGACTTTCATATGTGTTTATCTCATGAAAAGGTTAATTGCTTAAGTGTTGCTTTCTCTGTGCCTCTCTCTACTTACTCTTGGTCATTAAATATGCGATTACTTAGCTCTGTTAGGTTACAACATTGCCATGCTGGCTATCATTTAAGTTATTCTGAAGAATACCAAAAGACCTGAAGTACAGCTTCGCCATACCCATATGCATGTGTTTGGGCTGAAGGAGAAATTCCAGGAGTCTTTTGAACTGCTTGTTTTGTGGTTTTATTCTGAGGATCCAGTGTACAGACTCTAATTCCAGTGACCTCTCTAAGCAGGAAATAAAGCATAATAACGATGCTGTGTAGAGCACCGCTTGAATCTTTTCTTTAAAGTTTCAGTAACTTTTATAGTGTATCAATCACTTTTCTTGTATGGAATGGCCAGTATGTGCCAAAATCGTATTGAAAGGTTTATTGCTATAGACAAAGCATAACAACACGCGTGAGGTCTGTGGCTTGGGCTTTATGTATGTTTTAAGGTATCTCAGTTGCTTTGCCTCATCTCTGTGTATCCAGTTAATACTGCACGCTAACCTCAGCTGGGAGTGGAAAAAAGAAATCATTATTTCTTTAGGTTAAAATGAACAGTAATTAAGAAGTTGTGATTATAAATGGCAATATAAAATAACTAGAACCCTACATTTATTATTTCAGCCTTTTTGCATTTATTGTTAGGTTAATTGAGCAATACAAAGGAGCATAGGCAAGCTGCCACACATCTCTGAAGGACAGCTGCATGTTCAACAATGAAGTGCAAACCAGCACATCCTTTCATTCTGTAATATTATATATTCTTGAGATAACATTTTTGTGCGTGTTTAGACACAAAGATTCTTGAGATTATTTTCTAAGGTGCTTTAATAACTAACTACAGGTTTGTAGAATGAATATTCTCAGTACTGGCACGCCTCAAGTATGGTATGAGCACTGTTCAGAGAGATCTTAACCGTACAGCGTAGCAAAATGTCACCACTCGAGTTCACAATTGGAAAGGTGAATTCTCTGGTGTTAGGATTATCTCTCCTTCGTATTTGTACATTGCCTAGCCTCGGGGGATGGAGGGGTTTACAGGCAGGATAGAATGTAGTAAAAAGAGATACTTTTTTGGAGACAACGTAATCATTGTTCCTTCCAAAGCCAAGTCCTGTCATCTTTTTGCTTTTCAGTCCCTTGTGGCTTTCCATTTCATGCATAAAAACAATGTCAGGATTTGGTCAATAGCCCAAAGTGTAATCCAATGCCCTTTGAAGAGAGTCTGTACTGAAATCGCTTCCTTACAAAATAGTAACCCATTGTACTGCAGTGTGTTTGTCTGAGCTGAAGAATCCCATTTATACAATATGCTTCCATAGTGAAGTATAAGCAATGTGGATTCGAGGGGGAGGAATTTCTGTTGTCTTTTACAGAATTCTAAATTTAAATCTTCTGATTGGTGAAGAGCAATATGGTATCTTTGTAGGATAAAATGGTGCTCAATTAATAATTCTCCCTTCCCCCTCTCCTAATGTAGTTCTCCAAACTTGCTTTTAAAACAAGACAAAACTGAGTATATTAGTAGAAGTGATGGGGTGCTGTGAGTTCAAAAAGACATTACCATGTCAAGTCATGCTGCCTTCCCCGGAGTAAAAGAGCTTCCCCCTCGTTTTTTCGACTTGCTACCACTCAGATTCAAGCCGAAGGTGGTACGAAGTGCAGAGAGCTATAAATTTGAGACGTATAGGGGTTTGTTTGTGTGTGCATGATGGTGCTGTGCAGAGAAGTGAACCTTAGAAGAGTACAGTTATCCTGAGGTGTGTTCCTGAGGAATGACACGAGTCTGCTCAAGCATTGCTTTCGTGGAGACATGCGACAAAATAAAGAAAATGGTTAGGGTCATAGTTCTTACTAAAAATACTCCACAGCAGAAGCTGGGCTTATTGATTTATGAGAAGAAACAACTTAACTGTTAGAGAACAGCAATCTGATTGGGACTTCCTAGAGAAAATGGTTTACTGATGAAATTTCATGGTTATTACTGTTTTTTCTCTGAGTGTTGGCTTCCTCTTATAAATCTGTAATGCTGACCAAAGCGCTGTGTGCCTCAGTGGCACACAAAATTCTCCCATTAATCAGAGGGAAAATTATACCTGTAGGTGGATGTTCTTTTAATCTCTTATTATCACGTAGTAGGTCGCAGCAGTTGGATGTTGCTATGAGTTAATACTGAATTACTAAATTTAGAAATGTTTTAGCAGTACACAGTAAAAAGACTGAGAAATAGAGACTTTAGCCATCAAAAATTTCATGTGGGTGTTTTGACAGAGTATTAGAGGCAATTTTCCATCAGTGGGCACTAGCAGTATGGCAGTGAGTGTTTGGGGTTTTTTTCCAGTATCCTGGACAAACGTGAAGGTTGCCACAGAGTTAAATGCTTTGGGTGACACCAAAGATAACCTGTTCTGGAAGAAAGGTCCAGACTTTGACTGTTGACTAAATGAAAAGTACAGAGCAGAGATCCACAGGACTAAATAATGCATTCCAGGTGTCATAGTTAATATTTCTGCATGTACCTTATCTATAAATAACAGTTATTATGGCTCTTATGAAAAGAAATGTTAGTAAAAATGCTGTTTCTTACTTTAGTGGTTGAAATGTGGTTTGTACTCTTAGCTTACGCACGTTGCGATGCTGGGGAATAGATCTGTTTCCATGGCTGTTGCAGAGGGACCGGCATTTGTTTCAGCCCAAGCTCCAGAGCAGCTGGCTTTGTGCAAGGCCTGATCCGAACGCCCAAGCAGCAGGGCGTGTGTTCTGTACTGTGTTAATGCAAATACATCTCTGTGTCTATAAATCCTCCTCGCTTCTGTGCTGGCTTCCTCACAGTCAGGAGACTGTTTAACTGATGTGTAAATGTGCTGGACAGTAACAGATACGCATCTTGGCTTCTTACTAGAAGGCTGTCCGCAAGACCCAGGGTAACTTAAAGACTTTTAATGGAAAAAAAAGAGGTCAAAAATACCATCAGTGCCAGAATGAGAACAACTCTGAATCGATTAACAGAATTAAGAGCTATACATATTTGGTTTTTCCCAATTTCCAAAGCAGGAATACACTAAGAAAATTCCTTGGGGACACATCCCATCTTCAATCCCCTTCATCAGCACAGAGTAAAGCAAGGCTGTTTGGAGACATAGCGCATGCAGAACTGAGTAATTTGCTGACTAAGGACCAAACATTTCCCGAAAGTGGTGTGTTATCCTGTGAATTTTGTGGATGCAGGTCTTCAGTTACCACTGATGCCTTGAAGTTAAAACCTGAAGAGAACTGAAGTGGAAGGAACTGGCTGTAAAGGGTGTCCTGTGAATTGGCTGGTTCAGCTTATAAACTGCTGCCTAATGAACTGACTGGTTTAGCTTATAAACTGCTTGGAAGTGAGTAAACAACTGCCTGACATCTTTTCTCTTGCACTGTTCACCATATGGTTGAACAGTTCTATCAGTTTTGGAATTTCGGGAAATGTTAGAGTGAGGCAGTTAAAATACAGGACATTCATCCAAAACCAAATGAGATTGAAAATATCTTCTGCTGGAAGAAAAGCCTCAAATGTGAATACAAACTGTGCTTTTGTTCTCACTCTGGAACATTGAAAGTCGTGAACATCTTTCAGTGTGTATCTAACAACAAAATATTTCTCCTTTGGAGATCTCCCAGAATACTAGAAGTAATGTCCATTTTAATGGGGCTAAAACTGTAAATTAAGTCAAATTTAAAGCTAGCTGGCAGTACTCTAACCACCACAGTGTGAGACTCAGTGTGTAGATACTATCTTAAACCAAGAAATTCCAGAGAATATATTGAGAAAACAAAAAAGCACCATGTGCTTCCTGAAGGCATTCCGATATTAACCGGGTAATTGCATATTGTTCACATTGCTGCCATCTGTGTAGCGGAAAAAAAAGTGAGCATCGCTGATGATGCTAATCCATGAGATGATCCATCTGTTGCTTCTGCCAAGTGGCACAGGTTTGGCTGTGTAGTGTTGGGACATAATCCATTAGAAACTGAGGCCGAGAGATGTGAAGTCAGGTAAGTAAATGGTTTGTTGGTGGGTAGCAGAGGAATAGCTGTGACTCTGGAGGGAATGGCATCTCTGCCTGTGTTTAAAGAAATTGTTAGTATGTAAAAAATTACATATTTGTAACCGGCATCTCGGAAGTTTGCGATTTATGGCAATAGCCATCTTTTACACAGGTTTCACTTCTATGCAGAATCCCAGCCCAAGTGTGGGATTTAGGTGCAGTGGTCTATTAGGTATTTATCGGCTCACGAAAGAGCAAGTTTTAGTCGGAGTGTTAGACAACGTCTGAGTGCCTGTGTTGCGTAGCAGAGTTAGTTGACTGTTACCTGAAGAGTGAACTTGGTGCTTTTTCTCATACGAGGTGATATTGCTTAGCTCTGCCTACAAATCTTATAGTTTAGACTCCAAGACACAACCATACTACAAGTTTTTACTTCTAATGTATAATTTAGTAATTAAATCTCCCACCTTTGTGACCATGCTTCCTCTGCTATGCCTGCTGCAGTGGAATTAAATTCTTACCTCTCAGGTTTTCTTCTTTTTTTCTTTTTTGTGATTTCCTCATACTTTTATTCCTAGATGGATTTTTTTTTTCATCTGGTTACCACTGTACTTGGTTTTGGCTTTTCTTAGTAATGTGATGTGTATGTATCTGCCTGTTATGTGCATGAATGTAGTAAAGTAGAAATGTATCTGCTTTTGTTAATAACTCCTGGTGGTGGAACTTTGAAAGTTCTTTTAAATTTCAGTTTCTAATCTTTACTAAATTAATCTAGCAGAGTATATTGTTTTACACTTTTTTATTTCTGAAACAATTTTTTCATGCTGCTTTTTTTCCTCTGTCAAAGCTTCATAATGTGAATGAAAAAAGCTTCAAGTTTCATAAAATAATCTGTGTGGGTCACTTTAAAAAAATCTGATGGGTTTACTACAGGTACTGTAGTTTTTATTGACATTAAAGCTGAGGGGACTGAATTTTCAGTGTTTAATCCCAGGGCCTGTAAGCCTAGTAAGTGTGTCTTTTTAATTAAAGAAATCTTTCTTCAAGTTTGAATGTGTCAAAGACTTTCCCCTTTTCCTTTTCAATTTGTGTCACAGCATGTATCTGGTGTGAAGATAATGCAATATAGAGACTACTGCAGAATATGTAGGTAAAACAAATCCTGTCAGGATTTCTGCATTAAGGAATAAACACGAAAATATCTGCTTATAATAGGGTATTTGCTTATAATGGGATGCATGCTTCTGTGTGTCAGTGCGTTGTGAATTATAATAATTGCGTGGTCTGAAAAATTCTTAGGAAATGACACTCCGGTCTGGCTGCATACACTGAATGTGCTTATTTAAATAAAAGCAAATTTAGTCCTTGGAGATGTTTCCCAGCACGCCCAGGGAGACTGTGTTCTATTCCCACTGGGTTGCAAATCCCAGTATAAGGATTTCTGCTGGTGTGGCCCAGAGCACCGCCAGCACCTCTGGCTTCTGCCTTGCTCCCTTTCCTCCCCCTGCTTTTTCCCATCTTGGGACTATGGTTCCGGCTGTGCCTGTACCACTCCGTCTGCAGCCGTGGAGCTCCTCAGAGTTAGGGGCAAATAGGAAAAACCCCCAAACGCCGCCCCCAGCAAAGGAGAAGTGGCAGGAGGGGTTTAAGGCAGCATTACTGGAAGAAATGCATGTGAAACAACAAACCTTGTTCCTCACTTGAAATCCTGTTAATTTAAAATCCCTTTGAAAATCTGAGCTATCAAATTAGGCAGAACTGGCTCAACCAAACATTATTGTAACTACCTAATAATCATGTTTTTCTTTTAAAAAAATTAATCCCTAAATATTAATTTTCTTGAGTAACTCACAGTATTGGTACTGTATATGTACTTTCAGTTAACTGAAATACTCATTAAGTCTGATTGTGACAACAGTCTTTTCTGTCTTTTCTTACTGTGTGTTTGAAATTATGACTTGAAAATATTTCACTTGCCTTATTAGTTAACAGTAGCTTTTTTTTTGTTGTGAAGCTATTAATATTCATTGTTGATACACTTTTAAAGCTACCCCTAAATGGCCATAATTTCTGGGGAGGTGCATGATCTTCTGCAGATTGCTTTTGCAAATGATTCGATTTACACAGAACAATTAGTTCAGTTCCAGTTAGTCCTATACATTGTGGTATGGCACACGTATATTAGTTTTATATACCTGTGCTATTTTTCTGATACAGAATGAGCCCTTGCTCAGTGTGAAGCCATTTGTGCTGTAAGCAGTTCACTCTTTTCAGTGTAACTGCAGGAGTGCCAAAGCATTAAGCAGTAGGATTTTAGGGGTGTTAATTTAATCTTTTAAGTGTCGTTTGTGTGCTGCTTTCTGCAACAGCCTTTTTAACGCAGTCTGTATATAGCCATCAAAAGAGCTGTTGTGATGAAAAGCAAACAACCTTGAAGTGTCGTAAATTATTTTAATCTCTCTGAATTTGTCTGTTTAATGTAAGTGGAAATTTTAAAGTCAAAAAGGACTCCCTAGGAATACAGATTTTAACAAACAGGAAAAAGATTTAGCTGATTAAAAATTCATTGACAAAAGGCAGAACCATCAACATTTCATATTTTAAAATTAGTTTAACACCAAAAAAAATTGAAAACTTGCTGTTCTGCATGAGTCTCTGCCTGTTCAGTAGTCCAAGAAATGCACACCCCTGCCATTAGCCCCTCAACATTTTTATTCTGTTGAACTGGATGAGTAAGGATTTATATCTTAATATTTTCACAAGGTCTTTCCTAAGTTCAGCATTACAGAAAGGATGAAACGAGCGTATGATATATGAAGTTAAGAATTATTTGGCAAATTCCTCTATGGACTGGGAAAATGTGTTTGTTGTGAGACACAATTTAAAAGCTGTTCATTTTGTTCCCAAGCAGGCCCTTCTGAAACATCAGAGATGGATGAAAAAATTGCTCTCGCAAAAAGTTACACAGGTAGGTCTTTTAGTTTTTATTTTTTCTCACATCTGTTTTGGAAATTGAATGTGTGAGTTTTACTTTCCAAGGTTCTGTTTCCTTGATTTGAAGTAAGAGTTAGGGTATTGGAACTAAAACTTCAATAGAAATGAAAATTTCAGTTGCCTTAATTTTCAGGTGTCCAAGTAGAGAGACATATAGAAGGGAATCTCATTTCTTCCTTTTCTAAATTCAAAAAGGAGCATCAGGTTGATCACTAAAGCAGTACTAATTTGTGCAAGTCAATGTGTTTCTCATGAAATTCAGTCTGTTTCATAATTGGTTATCACATTTGATAGACTTGTGCTTATGTATTACAAGTACAACTTCATCATTTCTTTCTTCTAGCTGTGTGTGAGGTGAATGGATATATACAGAACAAAGTATATGGCAAGTCTGTGTTTAATGGAAGGAGTTCCTCACTGTATGTGAACGATATCTGAAATAAATTTACTCCAAAATTGTACATTTTTTTCCCAGCTTCTTACAGTCTGTATTAAAAATACTAGTTTGCCCATTTGCAAACACTAGAAAATACTAATCTGCATTTCAACCTGTGAATTTCATCAGAGTGCTCCCGCTGTCATGAATTTAAGATGCGGAAGTTGAGCCTTCTCTGTGTTGTTTGTGTGAATGTTATAGTTCTGGATTTTTCACTTATGAAAATCCTTGCTTTGAATAGTCAATGTTAAAAATTCCTTTTGTATTTTTATTATGGTATGTTTTTTACTTTATATTTGTCTAAAGGAAGCCACCAGGGTTCCGACTGCAGTGAAGGAACAGATGTGGAAATACCAGTGGAAGGTTAGAGATCTGAAATGTTTTTTATGAGAATAATTTAACATAATTGGATTTTTTTTTACAGAAATATTTGAAAAGATGGCACCTTAATTAAAGTTGTACATCTTCTCCAACCATTTTTTTTTTTCACATTTCCACAAGGTTGGCTTTTGGAGTTGGTTTTTTTGCTTTGTTTCGCTTTTAATCTCCCAAATCATGGTGCTCTGTGGCTTACTATAAACAAGTTGTGATGGGAGTTGTCATTCTTTTAAATCATAAATTGCATTTGTAAGGTGCTTGTCACCCAACATTTAATGCTTTGACATGATGTTAGAAGTACATCATTCTGCTGCTAGCTTCATTCTAAGCACCTGACTCTCAAACCTGAGTCGTGAGTATTTTTTTGGATGTTAAGGCCAAGTTATGCTAGCAGCAACACTCATTCTTGCAAATCCCATTAGTTTTGCTTTGAAGGTAAATATCACCATAGTTGAAGAGTTAAAGGTACCATTACATGAAATTGAAAAGCATTTCTCTTGATAAAGGAGAATAAAGTTCTTTGCTCTTGCTGACTGCACTATTAACTCTACTTATTTGAGAAGAGATACCCTAGGTACTTTGTTTTCCTAAGTATAATGCCGTGGCTTTATGCCTGACCGTGAAGCGAAGCCTGAGGAAAGGGCAGTGTAATATGAAATGGCCAAGACGCTGGCTTTGCTTTAGTTTTGACTATGTTGAATTTTATAGCTACAGGTGCTGAGTGTGGCCCTTTATGTCAGAATATGGTTTTGTTTTACACCCTTTTCTCAATTCTGTTCTCCTTTGCAAGTTTCTCTAAGAGATATGCTGCGAGTTGCAGCCTGGCGTTGCTAAACAGAATAAACCTGTTATTTGTGAAGTTTAGTACTTATGAAAAGATTTATAAGCAGTGATTAAAAATTGCAGGTAACAATCTAACTTACATTTAATTTGTTGTTTAAATAGCCATACAGTGTAGGCAGTCTTGTCTGGATTCTGTAAAATGAAATTATTTATTGCCAACCCTCACAAAAATGAGTACAAAAGAAAAATCGATGACAACGTTTGGATTTTTTGTATATCCTTCTAAATGTTATTAAAGAATACATTTAATAGGCATTTAAAGTTCTTCTGAAAGTTTGTCTGAAACCTACTGCCTGCGATGCGGAAGATTTGCAGAAATGATTGTTTCCTGCAAAGAAAAACATCAGAGAGATGTACGAACATATTTTTTGGTGGATATCACTGGGGATTTTCACTGGGTTTTCCCCTCCAGTAACCTTGACAAGCCGGTGAAAAAGTGGCAAAATTAACCTGTGCCCGGAATCCCCCAGATGAGCTGTTAGCTGAGAAAGGTGTCTGAGGTCTTAGTGAGATTGCATGTGTGGGGAGCATGGTTTGATTGAAATTCAGCGATCAGAAAGTTAAGGTTATGTGCATCAAAATCGTTTTAAATGGAATGGAATCACATTTGAGAAACTGGAGATGGTCCCAGTGAATGACAACATTTCGAACTGTGAAGAAGGCTGCTGCTTAGGAGCTGTGTGTCTTTAAGATCACAAAATACCTAGTGATGATAATACTTGATTAAAAAAAAAATCACTTCAGTGTTTAAACCATTGGTTTAATATGACTTAAGAAGAAATGGCCCATCTGGGAGTTCTCTTCCAGAACTTTGTTACCACCTGCTTGGACATTTTTGCATGTTTCTCTTTATTATGACTATTTCTCAGGGATTTGGTACTGAACTAGATGGACTATTTGCCAGTCTTTGTGGCTGTTCTTAAGTTTCCAAAAACTGCATTTCTTTTTTTTTTTTTTTTTTTTTAACTTTTCTGATGCTCTCAAAAAAGGTTTGAAGTGATCAGTTGATGTGATAGTTATTTTATGACCATACTTTATGTTCATGTCTACTAAAAGACCATTACCTCCTTATTCTTTCTTTTTGCTGTGTTTTGCATTTGCTATTATTTACCCAGCACTCACTCTGAATTAGATCAAAGCATCACACTATGATTTCTGTGAACTAGATATATTTGACATAGTTCGAATATACTCCAGTTGAGGTGCCTCAGTAGATACTGCTGGATCTCTGCCATACATGACATCATATGAAGAGCCTTTGAAACAGACATTCTTTCAGACTTGCTCCCAAAGTGCTATCATACTTCCAGCTTACAGAGATCTGACAGAAGATACTCTTCAAAATGCACAAGCGCAGCATTACTCTGCCAGAATAATTAAAATATATTCCTTCATGCACTGCTACTTAGTTTTGAAATAGTTTCCAATATAATTAACTTCTTTTTTTTTTTTTTTAACTTTACTGCAGTAAAATGCAAATTGCTCTTTCTCCCACTGAATATTGATAGGCCTAATCCTATTTATTATGTTGGTGCAGGCTGCCCCAACGAAAGCATTGTGATTATGAATTTCCCTCTTATTTTTCACTGTTGGCCTTGCAGCCTGTTATGGAAATCATTAAAGTGCAACAATTATGAGTCTGTATAAATGGTAAAGAAATATATCATGTGTAGGGGCACCCAACCTTTGTTTATATTTTCAGTAATCCTTGATAACAAAGGGGAAAATATTTATGATTGTATTAATCCTATTAACCCAAGAATAAGGAATTTCCTACTGTCATTAACACCAACTCTGCGCTGCTGCACACGCAATTTAGCAAGTATAATCCCCACCTCCATACCCTTGTCTAGAATTGCTTAAAGGCTTATGGTAAAATATCTTTGCTTCTGTTTTTGTTGCACACTGTGAATGCAAAACGTTTCAATAAGCCGGGGGGCTTCTTTGACAAGTGTTAGTTTAAATAGAGAAACACAGAGTGTTTGGTTAAAAATCTTTTCTGTGTCCATCATTCAGCAGTCCTGTTTTTCCCCCTTCAGATTCCTCCCAGCATGCCCCTTCAGAAACGAGTGAGGATCCGGAGGTTGAGGTCACCATTGAAGGTTAGTTCTCCAGTTCACTGATTGCAGTCCATTGGGAATTTTTTATGTCCAAAACCAATGTTTTACTATGCTTGCATTGCTTGGCACTGAGTAAGTAAGATTACATGCCAGTGTTGACTGCAGTTTGGATTGCGCACTGCTTAGTAACCGTATCTAGTCCAACATTTTACAAAACCAGAGTGTACGGAAGCATACTGGACTTACTGGGGCGGTTTTGAAATGATGTGTGACAGAGATTTGCATCTTTCACACACTTTTGTCAAGCATTGGTAATGAAGAATACTCATTATTTAACAGCTATTAATTTAGATTTTAAAAAGATTTTACACTGTTCATTCTGAATAACATGTTTTTTTATAAGCATACTGTAGTTATACATAATTTCTAGTTAACATGGGAAGAGTTGTTCCATAATAGAAATGATGTGTTATGGGTGGTCTAAGTGAAGCTTCAATTTATTTGACAAATATTGATAAATATGAGATAAAAACCTTTATACTTCCCACCTCCCTTTCTCATCTAAATGGCACTAAAGCCACTAACTAGTATCCATGTTGTTTTCATGCTAGGATGTTGGTTGGAAGTCAGCTGTATTTCTTATATTTGTGAATTACATGTCCTGTAACTGCTTTAAAACACTTCTGAGATTGGCTTTTACAGTGCTTGCTTCTGGAATGGGTAAGATTACGACCACCAAATTAGCTATTTAGAAATTAGGCAATGCGTTGAGGGACAAAGTTGAAACTTCTGGCATTACTTTCACCTTTTTATAATCCAGCACTAAAATAATTCTTACATTACCTGAACAGAAAAGGTAATAAGGGAATAGTCATTAAGTTCTGTCTATATGTAAAGGCCTTTACTACAAAAGTAAAAATGCTCTGAAAAGGTTTTCTCTAACAGAATATATTGCAGCTGCATAGGTGCAAGAGATGTCAATGTGTAATATTATTCTTTCTAAGTAAACCGTGCCCTTGATGGGTTGGGCAGATGCTGTTCTGTATAGAAAATAAACTTTAATTTTCTTTGTCTGCTTTAACCATTTATTTTCTCTAGTGTTGCAGGTATTGGTAATTGGACAGTCTTAAAAACTCATTAACTGGTAGGGAAGGTAGTGTTTTGCATTGGGAAGTAACTGTCTAAGTAGCAGCTCACTGAAAAGTACCTGGGGATTGCAGTTTTCCCCCTCTGTGTGTGTTTGAGGTAGGGCTGACCTGTTAAGTGAATTTCAGCCACGTCCATCAGTTTTACACTGGTTTGAAACTGGTTTTAGCACCTTTGAGCTCTTCGAGATCAAACTTAGGTACTATGTTTCAAGACTTGTTAGTGGAAGGGTAAAGTAGACAAAAAATGTAGTCTACACCTGCACAATTTATTTCCTGATTTCTTTTGCTGTCATGTGGTCATTTTATGATCATGAGGTGTCCAGTCATGTTTCAGAACACAATATTGCTTTCCTTAGGAAGCACAGAAGAAGCTCTGCTTTTTGCTACCTTATGCCTTGTGCTGGCTCTCTTGTGCAAATTGTTCCTCCACGGGCCAGTAGCTTTGTAAAGTTACTCAGATAAGTAATTCATTGCAAAATTTGATGCGCTGATAAAGCACAGTTCAATACTTGCATTAGAGCTTTGAAAGTCACAGTAGTTCCAGCATTGCACGTGAGTTCTCTGGACATTAAAACAGTGATGTTTTTATGTTTCTTTAAGATGATGACGACTACTTGCCCCCTAACAAGAGACCGAAGAACACTGAGTCAGCTAATGAAGCTACCAATACTGGGAGAAGAAAAGTGAGAGAGTTCAATTTTGGTAAGATAAAAATGAAAGATTATTTTGTGTCTGTTTTATAAAAAGGTATTAGACAACTTCACATTCCAGGAGGGAGACACACCAGTGTGAGTATTCATTTAAGAGCCTAGGGTTCTTTGTAGATGTGTTGTAGCAGTATAATCATCATCATAGGCTACGTCTGTTGTTTCTCACTATTCAGAGTGACCATCTAAACAGACACTGCAAGTAATTTAATAAAATATAAATAATTCTAGATTTTTGTCAGCTGATTTCTTGGATAAGAAGATAAGACTGAATTCACTAGGGTACTGAATTATGGCAAACCGGAGGTCAGGAGCCTGTCTAGCTGGTCTTTCGTCATATGTGCTGTGAACTGAAGATGTGCTGAGGGGAGGCATGTTTGGGAAGGTAACCAAATGACTCTGTTGTGCAAGTAGCCTGCCTTGGTCCCTGTGGACACATAAAAAGCTGGGGTCTATTTGGTAGTGTTCTTTCGTGATACCTTATGGAGAGTTCTCACTGCAGAAAAGCATCTGCACCCTGTAGTTATTCTGGTTAAAGGTATTTCCCATGTGATTTGTTGCAGCCCCATACATCTCCTTTATTTCTTGTTGTGTTTTGGTTTCTGGGCACATATCCCATGAAGCTGTGTACTTCTATAAGGTTCTGCGCAATCAGGAATATGTCCTTTGGCACAGTGCTTGAGATGTTTATTAGGAATCCTGGGATTTGAGGTCAGTTGAAAAATCCCCATGGAACCTCTTCTGACATCTGTTTTGTGTGAAACATGTTATTTCATGCTAATTTCAACTAAAATGAATAAAACATTGTTGAGAGCTCTAGTCTCAAAAGATCATTAACACTAATAGGCAGTTCCACATGTAGCATTAGTTAATTTTGGTTGGGTCAGGAGAACATAATGGCAACGTTAGTAGAGGAGAAGATTGAGTAGTTAATACTGCAGAGGCTTTTGCTAGAATGTATTCCTTCAGTAGAAAACAGTGTCTAAGCTTGGCAGGCCAGCAGTGTTTGAAGGGAATAAACGGTGAGGTTGATTACACACAGAGAACAAAGGTAATAAAATATGAGGATGATAAATGTTTGAGTTGAGTTTGCAGTGTTGAAACACCAGTTAAAGAACACCTTGCAGCTTACCTACTTGCTGTTGCTTCTGAGTTGACTTGGTAGATTATCTCTAGGCTGTTCTCAAGAAAACTTTGGTCTTAACCACCTGCTGAGCAGTTAGAATACAGTGTTTTGCAGCTCATGGGTTATTCAGAGATGTTTATTCCTGGGCTTCCTAAACTGTAGTGAGGTTATTGCCCCTCCTATTCACTTTTGGGGTTCACCTACAGAAAGTGGTATCTCTACGGTGGTGCAAGGTCAGGTTAAACCACAAAATGAATGTGAGAAATTTTGGAGAAATAGACTTCATTTGCTGTAATAACAGAGCAACTGTTGGTAGTTGCAGTGCTGCTGTTTGGACATTTCAGAAGGCTTTGTACCTTTGTCTAATGAAGTCTAATATTAAATAATTGGACAGGAGAAAGGAGGTGTCTATTCTGTCATAAATAGCTGCAGAATAACTAAAGCACATGCACTCAGAAGACTGGAAAAGAGGTATAGATGCTTGTCTCATAAGGACTTTCAGTATTTTACATAACAGTGATGCAATCCAGGTGTTTGATAGCTGTGAGTTGGAGAGACTTCCTGTATGTCTTGATTGAGGCAGAGATCAGGTACCCTAAGTGGCCCAAGAAACGGTGAAGAATGTGCTGTGCTCTAAGTTTTGTGTAAACAGGAAAACAAAGTGGAAAACAAAGTAATTGTGACCAGGGTGAGGAATGAAAAGTGTCTGGTAAAATGCTTGATAAAGGTTAAAAATCTTTGGGAAGGGAGGTTGGATTTAAAAAACATTTCTGAACCAACTATTTAAGATTAAAAATATCTTTGCTGAAAGGAACTGACATTGTCAGTAAAAATCTCTTCCCACAACGTTTCTTTGCTTTCTTAGAGATTTTATCAAAAGCTCAGAAGCTTGAAGTTGTGTCTTACAGTTGTGTCATACCAATTTAGTGGAAAAAAAGTCCCCTTAGCTGTTGTCTCACTGTGACAGTGATGGAAAGTATGTATAGTTTATGACACGCTGTTGAACGCAGGTTTTGCCAGCCTGCAGCATGCTGAGAGTTGCTGCGTGTTTTCCATTTTATTTCCCCACAGAATACTGTGTGGCATGTTGATGGGAATAGGAATGTTGATGGGAACAGGAATGTGCTTGTGAGCATCATTTTGTTTGCGCTGTGCAGATTGCCCCTACTGTAGTGGATGTTATCTGGAGCAGAGAATGGGGTAAACTGAAGAGGTTGTGGTCAGGCTGGGGAAGTTTTCAAGATTGTTAAGTAATTGGGATGATGTTTTCCATGTATCAGAATGTGTATATACAGGAATAGAAGGAAACCACCACTTCTCTTGGTGCCTGTAGGAAAACTAAACTGCTTTGCAGAGAGCGATTACCAAAACAAAATATCAGCTTAGCTTTACGCTATGTCTTCAACTTTGCTACTGAGCATAAAGCGAGGGACAAAAGAATGTTTTTACAGTAATTGGTCTGAATCTAAGGGGTTAATAGTGCTGCCAATCTGATTAAAAATCATGCCAGTTACCTGATAACGCCTCTGAATTTTTAAATACCTCTGTAGCTTAACTTGGCCATTTACTCGTAAAATACAAAAGCAGCTAAAAAAACCCGTCCAACAACAATGTGCTGATCAAAATGTGAGCCAATCTATGATTTTTTTCAATTGCTATTCTCTGTGTATTCACCATTCCAAATAAACATGCCTGTATTGTGGTGTATTTGATTATTAATCCCCATAGTGTTTCCATTGGAGGGAGAGGGGCATGGAAGTAGTTGCTTGAAAAGATCCACATGGAATATTTGGCCAGTGATTTTGAGGTTTGGTAACTGAGAAAAACGAAGCCTTGACAACTTACTGGCTCATGTAGGAACACTCTTGCGAGCATGCTAGCAAGCCGAGGGAGAGCAGGCTGGGTGGGAGCAGCTTCTCCTAAAATTGCAGCAACAACCAATATTCAGAACAGTAGTATTTATATACTTTTGTATGGTTGCTTTGTTAATGTGGTATGACAGTGTTTCTGGCTGTTCTCCTTCTAACAAAAAACAGCCTGAGTTTTAGAGGAGATCGTTTGCCGAGTCTGCCTCGGAGCTTGATAAACTGAAGGGAACTCCACTCTGTGAGAATTTCCTGTGGGTTACAATCTGGAGTCACACAGGTGCCTTTCAAAACCCTTGTCCTAGGACTGTCCAGGCACGTTCACCAGCTCTGTTGAGTAAAGCAGGGTTTCCCCTTTAGGCCGGTAAATTCTGAGCCATATATTCCTGACTCTTGCTGGTAAAGCTGCTGTTAACCCGTTGTTCGGTAGGTCAATGAAAAAATGCAGTCAGTGGTTGAGCTGGAATCAGAAAGAGCTTTATCTGGCTATACATCTGCAGTTAAAGGGGGAAATTTTACAAGGTCGAAGTGACACAGGAGTAGAAAACATTGAGGTCAAGACATGTTTATCAGCTAAGAACCTGTGTGCTACAGGATAGCAGTAAAAAGGATGGCAGAAGGAATTATGTAGGTATATCCACAAGGATGTTATTTCAAAATATAAACAGGTTAATTGATGTAGGTGATATGCCAGGTAACTAGAATGAAGAGTTTGTGTGGATGCAAGGCAGCATGCCAAAACACCCTTTCCCCTCTAAACAAGGTCTTATTCTTGCCCACATCTGAATCATGCTGTTCTCTTGATATCCATGAAATTACATTAAAAAACTATAAGCTTAGACATTGCCACCAAAGTTACGTACATTGGTCTGATAATGAATATTTAAACCCCTTTCGATACAGACTCAAAATTCAATCCTCTGCCTTGTCTGATCTAAGAATTTTTTGACGACTGGAAGTGTAATAGCTTGAACAGCCACATTTTTTGACCTCTGTAGTTACTAGATTCAAGTCTTTGGTGTAAGAAATAAGCTGTAAGTACACTTGCTTATTAATTCATTCTGAAAAGGCCAGCCAGCATCTGGTACCATCTACAAAAGAATTGCGGCATTTTCCTAAAAGCATTGAGATAGTACAAAAAGCTGTGAAAATGTGCGCTGTCTGTCACAGGCAGAAAATTAGATGTTAAAATTCTGTCGTTTAATCCAGCTCTCCATGGAACACATGATTGGATTTGGATAACTCCTGTCTTGCAGCCTGTATCTTCTTTCAGAAATAGGATTTATGGGGATGGTTTTGCAACATCAGAACTTGGACAAATACTGGATTAAGGTAGAGGATGGCACGATGCCTCCTGACCCAGATAGTTGTACAGATTTATGCCAAAACAACTTCATGTACTCACTGCACGCTTTATCAAGCTTCACTAATTAAGCTTTTCAGTGCCCAGATTTAGATAACTAACAACAGCGACTGCAAACTGACTTTACCCCTGATGGTAGTGAGAGCTGATGACCGAGCTGTCAAAGAGAAACCATTTTTGGAAGTGCCTTTAGCCTGGTTTATGGTTGTTAGTTGTTTGTTTTTTTGGTTTTTTTTTTAAATTTGATTTAACATCTGCACAAGTTTTGGAGGTAATCTCAAACATATTATTCTATCCTTTTCCTTTCTGAATGTATCCATGTATTTTAAGGTATAGCCTATTCCTTACTCCACAGGCACCTGTAAGCAATTGAACACACTGCGTATTTCAGTTAGCGATAACAGATTTTACAAGAGATTCTCAGTTTCATTTGTACTCTGACATGTCCTCTTTTCTTTGCAGAGAAATGGAACGCGCGAATTACAGACTTGAGAAAGCAAGTTGAAGAGCTGTTTGAAAAAAAATACGGTATGTGTTACGCTCCTGTCCATACTATTGCCTCTAGTCCTTTGACACCATAAATCACAGCTCTTTGGCATGCATCTTCCTGTTGGCTCAGAAGCACACTGGTACTGACAGCACCAAAGGTTTAAATATTATTAGAGGACTTAAAACTTGGGAAAGTGGCTTTTTTAATGAGCAGAGTAATTTCAAAATTGGGTCCCTGTTTGGCACCTAAGTGCAGAACTTGATTTTATTTTTCAGTTATGCTCAGTTTCCTGGAGCTCCAGTGCGCTCATGTCTTGGGCACACGCATTTGAGTGAGCTGCCCTTTTTTTCCCTGTAATTACACCGAGTCCTTAAGTGAAATAATCTTTTAAAATGGCACTGGGGAGAAGTTACCACTGACTGATTGTTCCTTTCTGATGAGGACTGATTTGCAGTGAAGCAACAATTGTATGTTAATGGTTCTTGGAGAGAAGCAGCAGCATACGCGTTAGACTTTGGAATTTGTCTCCAGATGTTGCACCTAAACATATTTTGTGTCCACATATCACAGACTAAATCAGCAAAAACTTCAAAATAAATGGTAGTGCTCTTCTGCTGTGAAAAGTGGAAGTGCTTTTGGAACAGACCTTGTGATGTTGGAGTTATTGCATGCTTTGGGTGTGACTATCATCTGACATTTAACCAGCCCACTGAAAGTAACTCACACCAAGTAAAAACAGTTCAGAATCTGATTCACAGTATTTTAGTTGCTCTGGAAAGGAGCTGATGCTTTAATTTTTGTTTTGCCGTTTGCACGTAGCCAGCCTAAAAATCTCCTGTGGACTCTGTTGAATACAGAGCTATTCCTGACTTTCCATGACAGGCCAAATGGTATTAGATTATCCCCTTTTTCCCTGTGGAGGACAACATTCCATTGCTTCACAAACCAGTTCCATTTCAAATTTCAGTTCTTGCTATCTGTATGGGCATGCAGTTTCCCATTTACTGAAGGGAGTTGTGGATAGAATCATAGAATGGTTTGGG